GGAAGGAAAGTACAAATAAGATATAGTCACTTTCAAGAGAAGTTTGGCAATAATCAACAAAGTTTAAGATGCACAGAGCCCATGACCCAACAGGGAAACTTGTACTTTCAACCTTTTTGTAAAGTAAGAAGCACATTTGACATTCTAACCCAGTGCACCTGCATATAACACACACACATATATATAACACATATATTATATATACACATATATGTTATATTATAAAATTATAAAATATAATATACATATAAATATATTATAAAAATATGTATTTAACTATCTATAGGACTTCTAGGTAGTTAAATGTGTGTGTGTGTGTCCTTACACTAGCAAACTGGTTGTATTATTTTGGTGGAATTACAAAATAGTTCTACTCAAGCATTCATTATTTCCCCCCAAATTGTGCCTTTATAGATACATGTATTTATTTGATTTAAAATATCTCTGTAGAGTAAAAGAAAATTATAAAATATATCTTTTATCCCTTCAAAAATATTCACCTATAACATGATGGTAAATATTTGTGTATAAATATGCCTACGTGTAGTCATGTGAACTGAACGATGATGAGCGACAGAAGCGAAAAGGTGGCGCTCTGCGCGCAGGCGCGGGCTGCGGGAGTCTCCAGGCTGGCATCTGGCTGCCTCCCCCACCGCACCGGCTCGTTACTGAAGAACGCGTTTTCCTTTCGATGTGGGCTCACTAATCTTAATTGTTCCACCTGAGGCCTAAAGTCTTTTCTTCGACTTGAAGTGGTAGATCAAAATCGCTTCCTCCCGGGGCCGCTCCGGGGCCAGGGCGCACTGAACTAAGCCTCTAGGGCCCTCTGCGGTGCTGACATGGCTGATGAGCTGGTGCTGCAGCTTGTTTTTGAGCCCAGTTCTTTGAGTATGGAATTATGTAAATGTTCCAGCCAGCGTTTTTGCAGGTGTTTTTCTGCTCCAGTTCCCCAGTCCTGTTGACAACAAACATGTTTTGGGGGCTCTACTTTTTATAATAAGTCACAGTCACTTCCAAGTTTTGATTGCTCTGTCAAATTGAGATAAAAATTTAGATCAAAAGCAGATTTTCGGCTTTCTCAAATCCATCTCTTTTCTGGCCAGGAATGTGGATTTTTCCAATTGAAGAGATTCTCCCCACAGCTGAGATATCGCAAAGCTCTTAAAATTTCTTTCAAAACTAGGGCCCTCCTCGGTGGCACACAGGGTTACAGCACAGCACTATGAAGCTGTCCACAGCCACTGTATCTCAAGGTCAATCCCCAGCCAGGGAGCTGACCCACATGGGGCAGCAGACCTCTCCTGCCCCGCCCGCTGCTCCCCTCAGCGGGAGTGATTTCAATGAATCTGCCTGTTGTGCGCCCCACTCTGTCTCTGGTGAATCCTCTCGCCCCCTGCACCCCTGGCCTATGTCCTAGCTCTTGTATGCTTAAATAAGTAAATATTTAAAAAAAGAAAAAGAATTTCAAAATTAAATCTTTGTCCCATATAAACACTCATCACTTAATTTTTAGATCATTTCCTCCTTCGCTCTTTTAGCAATACATTTCAATGATTTTCTGCATAAAAGCTTTGCTTTCATAATTATCTCCTAAAAGCTGCAAAAGCTGATATGTTGACATTCCATTCACTAAATACTTTAATTAAAGATTTCCAATTGCTTTGGGGAAAAAATTCAGCAAAAATTTAGACATCTGTTTTACCAGTTTAATAATATCACAGGGCACAAGACTCAGTGTCTTCTGAAACTGATTATGATGGTAGCAAGGAAAATAAAAAATCTGGGTTTTTTTTTTTTAATTCAATATCTACTTCATCACAAAATGTAGTGTGTCTCTTAACATTTTATACTGGTAGGATATCGAATTAGTATACTATTGAAACTTACATGTACCTGTTTGAAGTTCGTCAGTCTCACCTGTACTAACATCAGAGAAGTGCAGAAAATTGACTTCCACTGTCCACATGGAAACTGACTTCAGAACTGTGTTCACCAAACATTGGTGGTTTTGTCATCATTTCACCCCAGTGTGAAGTGGGTGGCCTGGCTGTGGGTCCTCACCTGTGTGCTTAGAAGGGACTTAATGAGACTCACCCACAGGCATGCACAGAAAGGGTAACAAAAGGATTATTGACAGAAAGGGGAAATGAAGAAAGGAATGACTCAGGGAGAAAGAGATAAATAGGTGAATTCATCCTACAGGTTCTGTGAGCTGGGACCCCAATAGCACCCTAAAAACTGGCCAAAAGACAAGGATCCCTCAGGCCCACGTGTCTGCTCTAGACCAAGCCTGGCGCCTTAACGCCACCCTCAGGTCCCGCCCCCGCCTTCCATGGTGATGATGTTACGGGATTCGTAGTCTTTGGTGTCTGGTCTCTCTGGTCTAGGGTGGGGGAGGGGTCCATAAAACCTGCTTGTGGAGTTCCTTGAGGACATCCTTTCCCTCTCCCACCCCTGCCGCAATGGTTCCCTTAAGCAGGTCAAACTTCCCAAGCTTTACTTTGATTCCATACACTGGATAAAAGAATGGCAGCTGCGTGGCTGGTTTTCCTGTTTGGGGAAGACGGGTGCTGGTTCACACTGGCTCCACGTGCCTGTCTGTGACCAGCCACCTGTCCATCCCTGTGTGAGCACAATGTAGCCAGAACTAGAACCAGCTGCAGGAACTTAAAGGGCTCTGGAAGGAGGGAAAAGGCGCATGTCTGGGGTGTGTATGGGGCGTTGAAGTGAAACCACAGCTCGGCAGCGTAGTGGAAATCGAACTTCTGAAGCGACCACTTTCAGCGTGGCGTCTCCGTGTAGTCAGCTCAGCGGCCACAGCCCTCTCGCTTATGCAAACCTCAGCAAACACCTGGCGCCTGCGACAAGTACATCATCTGTCTCCTCGGGAAACAGAGGCTCGGTCATTGAATATTCATGTTTTAACTCATCACAGCCAGAGGGCTGATGCAACATTGACGAGTCCTGCCAAGTGCAAATAACGATTTCCTGGCGGGTGTTTGCCCTGAGTATCCTATCCCCTCATCTACTTGGGGACCTAGTCTCCAGCCCACAACCCTCAGGCTTCCCTCTGAGCTCCTCTGTCTACCCTCGTCCCAGCGGCTCCTGTGACTTTATTCCCCTGCTGAGGCACAGCACCCAGCCACATGTCGTCCTCTAGACCAGACTGGTGCTGTGGGCCTTGGGCAGCAAGGTTTGAGCTGCGTGGCTCTGCTTACAGCAACACAGCCGCGGAGAGGCCAAGGTGGAGGGTCGGCTAGAAACCAGACCAGGCTGGCAGCTAACCCTGATGCGTAGGAGGTCAACTGTCTGCCTGATCACCCGCTGGCCACGCCCGCTGGCTGGCCCGACAGACATTTGAGCCCTCGTGTGCCCATACACCCTGCCCTGTCCAGAGACCCTGCCCAGCACCCCAGTCCCTGCTCCACCTTCACTCAGCCGCCTCCATTGCAGTTGATGGCAACTTTGTATTGCCAGGTGTTCAGGCCCAAAGCCCCGGCACCCTCTGCGTCCCCTTTCTTACGGTCCGCACCTGATAGACACCCATGGTGCTCCGACCTCCAAAATCTATCTGGAGTCTGAGCACGTCTCGCCCTCGCCCTGCGCCCTCCCTGCTGACACACTCGGGTGCTGCTACCGCCGGGCGAGGCGCTCCAAGAACTCTGGGCTGTGTCCCGTGCGATTCCCTAGAACAGTGCCTGGCACAGTGTAGGTGCTCGATAAACAGGTGTCCGTGGTGCGGGAAGGGAGGAGCTGGGAGTTAGACCCAGCGTGAGCGTGCGAGTGGCAGACAGATGCCCACGTGGCTACACCCAGGGGTGTGAGCATGGCCGTGGACAGTGCAGGAGTGAGTGGGCGCGGCTGGGAGCCTGCATGCCATGATTTCCCAGCCAGGCGGCAGGCCAGCGGTGGCCTGCAGGGTCAGCGTGCTCTCCCCTGCTACACTGAGTGCTGTTGGTTGCAGGTCACTGTGGATGGCGTCCCCGACCATCCTAGCACTCGGGTCCTCCAACCAGAGCCAGCTGGCGCCTTCAAACACGACAGCCTGTGACAGTGCTCAGGCCATCTGGGGCCTGCTGTACCAGGTGCTGCCTGCGTTCATCATCGCCATCTGCATCTGGGGCCTGCTGGGCAACCTCTTTGTGCTATCCATCTTCCTCCTGCCCCGGCGGCGTCTGAACGTGGCCGAAATCTACTTGGCCAACCTGGCGGCTTCTGACCTGGTGTTTGTCTTGGGCTTGCCCTTCTGGGCAGAGAACATCTGGAACCACTTTCACTGGCCCTTCGGGGACGCCCTGTGCCGCATCGTCAATGGCGTCATCAAGGCCAATCTGTTCATCAGCATCTTCCTGGTGGTGGCCATCAGCGGGGACCGGTACCATGCACTGGTGCACCCCATGGCCAGCCAGCGGCGGCGGCGGCGGCGGCAGGCCCAGGCCATCTGCATGCTCATCTGGGGCTTAGGCGGCCTCCTCAGTGTCCCCACGTTCCTGTTCCGCACCGTGGAGACTGTCCCAAATCTAAATATCTCCGCCTGCGTGCTGCGGTTCCCGCACGAGGCCTGGCACCTCGTGCGGACAATGAAGCTGACCGTGGTGGGCTTCCTCCTCCCGCTGGCCACCATTGTCTTCTTCAACTACCACATCCTGGCCTCCCTGCGGGCGTCCAGGCAGCGGGAGGTGAGCCAGACCAGGCGCGGGGGCCCCACGAGCCGCAAGACCACGTTGCTGATCTTCACGCTGGTGGTGGCCTTCCTGGTCTGCTGGGCCCCCTTCCACTTCTGTGCCTTCCTGGAGCTCCTGTTAGAAGTGCGTGCCATGCAGAGCTGCTTCTGGGAGAACTTTACAGACCTGGGCCTGCAGTTCGCCAGCTTCTTTGCTTTCATCAACAGCTGCCTGAACCCAGTGATCTACGTCTTGGTGGGCCGGCTTTTCAGGACCAAGGCCTGGGAGCTTTATAAACAATGGACACCAAGGAGTCCCTCTCCAGGCCTCAGCCCATAAGAAAGAAATCCTCCAACTTTGCTGGAGGGGTTAAAGCAGTGCTGAGCCAAGAAGCTCGGCTCCGTCACCATGCTTTCTGACACAGTGGTCACTATTGCAGATGGTGGGATAATGCAGGACTGCTGGGACCTGGTCCCTGGGGCCTGGACTATTTCTGTGGCCACCCAGACCTTACAGATGCACTTGCAGTCTGGAGGCGGGGAGCTTCCTGGGTGATCTGGGTGACCCCAATGTAACTACAAAGTTTCTCCAAAGGAGGCCAGAGGCTGCGTGACGCAGAAGCCGGAGGTCGGCTGAGACAAGCTCAGGGCCACGGGCCAAGGACAGAGGGTGGCTCTGGTGAGAAGACAGGGAGGCGGACTCTCCCCAGAGCCCCCAGAAGGTGCTGACAGCTTGACTTTTGCCCCAGGAGACTGATTTGGGGCTTCTGGATCAAGAACTGTAAGATAATAAATTTCTGTTGTTCTGAGTCACCGAGTTGGTGGTGGTTTGTTACAGCAGCCACTGGAAACAGGTCCCTAGTGAGGAAAGTCCCTGGCCGTTGCCACTCGGCGCCCCCACAAATCTGGGCTGACCGATCGGAGGACAGATGGCTGAGGCAGAAAGCCTGTCCACGGGGAACCTAGAGCGCAGAATGACCAGACGGTCAAAGACATTAGACATCATGGAGCAACCCTCAGGTCAGTGCCCTGGGCGCCCGAAGAGAAAGGGCTGGACTCCGTCCAGGTCGTCAGAAACGCCGGCAAGGGGAACAAATCCTGAGCTGGTTTGCAGAGCGCAGAATCTGGACATGCGGGTGGGGAAGGGCTGGGGGGCACAGCCGCGACTCGGGGGACAAGAGGCGCTTCGCTGGGCTCCTGGAGCGTGTGCGCTCTGCCCTCCCCGCCAGGAACCGGGGTGGAGTGGAAAAGGGCCGCCCCCGGGAGCCCATGGCAGAGAGCCAGGGAGTGGCGGCTGCCAGCGCCCAGCCGGGGGGTCCAGAGGTGGCAGCTGGAGAGGGCTTCCTGGAGGAAGAGACATTTAAGCTGAGTTCCAAAGTATGCACAGTTAGCCCAACAGAAGAGGGAGAAGCGTTTTGACAGAAGAAGCAAACTAGCCCCAGAGGAGGCAGGAGGCTCACAGATCAGGAGGGAGGGGGGTGGAGGAGGGAAGCGGGAGGGAGCTTGAGGCTTGAGGTCCAGGGCAAGGGGACCCAGCAGGGGGACTGGGGATGGTTCTACTGTGTGAGTTACGTGTGCTCAGCTGGCCCAAACCAGACAGCCCGTTGTGTGGCTCCAGGGTGAGCGTTCTGGATGAAAGGCCTAGTCCAACGGTGTGGGGGTGCTGATCAGACTCTGGGCAATGGCTGAATCAGGGGAGCAAGGGAGCAGAGTGCAAAGGCCAGGCACTGGGGGGCCTAGATGATAGGGTGGGGAAGGAGGAGGGTCATGGCCAGAGAGCAGAAACATTCACTGGGAACATGGCCCCGGAGTAGAGGGGCCATCCCCAGAGAGAATGGTCCCAGTGTGGCCTTGGCTTTGGCTTGTTGGGCTCGAGAGAAGACAACTGAGTGGGAACGGGCTGTCCATGGTGCCCTGCGGGGTGCCGGGAGGAGAGAGCCAGCACAGGGTGCCAGGGCCGGTCCCCCAGCACAGGGAAGCAGGGCGTGGACTGGGACAGAACCCAGATTCACTCAAAGAAAAGGAGACCAGATCCCGGGGCCTGGTGATGGACGGTGAGAGGCCAGCAAGGTCACCAGGCCTCCCAGGCCATCACTGACGGCCCTCATCGGGCTGCACACCCACGGGCTTCCTGCAGAGCAGAGCGCGGCCCAGACAGCCTGGCTCCCTGCCAGCACATGAGTCTGGTCCTCGGGGAGTTGAGGTCCCAGCGATTCTCCAGGGTGCCGGTTCTCCTGCTGGGCTGGCTCCCAGGCCATGGGACAGGGCACACCACTGCCCTGTTCATGCCCACCTGCTCACACTTGAGCTCGGTGCAGGTGGATCTAGCGACCTGGATTTAGCCCAGCCCCGGAGTCTCAGCAAGGAGAGAAGCCCACAGGGCCCCCGGAGCCGGGGCCAGACCCAGACTCCTCCTTTGATCTTCAGGGCACCTCTGCAACACCTATTTCATGTCCACATGTAGGTGAGGAGGAGGGGGGCGAGGAAGTGATAACATGGACATAGAGCAGAAGCTGGGGTCAGCCGGTTTGCCCCCTCCAACACCATACAGTTTCTGAGTCCCTGGGGCAGTATCCGGTGAGCAAAACCCCGCAGCCACAAGACCAGAGAGGCAGGAATGTCGAAGACAGGCAAGCGTGGTCTGGGCGCCCAACCCCCCCCCCCCCCACCCTGCCTCTCCCACCCCGTCCCCCCGTCACCCACCCTCTCCCCTCTCCCCTTGTCCCCACTCTACTCGAGCTGGGTCACATCCCTCTCCTTCAGCCTGGGCGTATATTTGTGATTGATAACAAATCCCTGCTGGAGTAGGGGAAAAAAACCCTAGAAGAGTGTGCTGGCCTGAGAAATCAAAACATCTGCTCTTAGGCCTGTGTCCAAGGCAGACTAACGCCTGGGTGTCTGCTAAGCCAGGCATGGGGCATGTCAGGCTGAGGGGGCAGGTACAAGCCCAGCCCTCCCACCTCCGGAGAGAAGCTGTTGACAAACCCTCCACTTCTACCTCCCCCCCCACCCCGTTACCCCCACCCCCCACCCCCAAACTTTCTGCTGGGAGGGAGGCTGGTTACCCAACTGCAGAGGGAGAAATTCCCGCCCTGGTTAAAAGGGCTGCTGGGTGGAGCAGGGTATTTCTGAGTTCCATGGAGCTGGCCTGTGCTCACCCAGAGTGTTTAGGCCTCAGCGAGGCTGGGCCTCGCCTTGGGGCAGCACTTGGCACCTGAGGAGGCCAGGTCTCCCTGCCAATGGTCTCCCGCACCCCGCCTCATCCCAGGCTCCCGCTTCCCCTCAGAGAAACATGCCTTCTTCTCCCAGTCACATCCAGCTCTGGTGAGGTCACTGCTGCTCGACGCCCACAGCCCCCATCCATCACCCCTCTGTTACAGGCGCTGGACAACACTAAGCCCTCGCAGATCCCCGGGGAGAATCCGGGATGTCGCAATGGACCCAGCAGATGCTCGCCCTCAGGGGTGAGTCATGAGCTGATGGGGAGCAGGTGGGACGTTTTCTCCTAGGATCTGGAAGGGACTTCAGCTCACCTCCAAATACGTGCACACCCCTGGCACAGCCCCAGTGGAATCTGAGGGGCCAGATCAGTGTCCGTTTCCTGGATGCGTCTTGGACCACATGCGTGCAAGATGTCACCGTGGCAGAAATAAAGAGTACAGGGATGTCTATACGTTGTATGTGACCCTAATAAAAGGTTTGGGGGGAAAATATTAAATGCAATGCCCCTGTTGTTTGTTAGCTCCCAATTTCTGGGAAGCAAGAATCCTTCTATTTTGTAGACAAGGAAACAGAGACTCAGAGATGGATGAGTCTCAGAGACTTGCCCAAATTCCCCAGTGGATGGACTTCTGGGCAGCGCTCTGTCCAGATTGCAGCGGTACCATAGCCTGTGAGGTCAGCGGAGAGGCCTGAGTGCTGGGGACCTGACATTTGCGTCATTGATGATGCAGAGAATCTCTGGGAGTGGGGTTGAATGTAAGGCAGTGAGCAGAAAACCAGGTCCACTCTCTGAGCGCGCAGAGGACAGTAAACGTCCAGAAAGCTCAGCTGGGGTTCAGCAAGTATGGGGGACATCACTCCAGGATTTAACAAGGGTTCAGCGTGCTGTGACTGCAAAACTAGCTGCTAGTTCGCAGGAGTAGGAGTATGGGGAAGGTGATGGCCCATCGTGCTCAATACTGGACAGGACACATGAGGAATACTGTGTTCAGTCTTGGTTGTCAGGAGAAAGGGATCAGATTGGCAAAGGGCTCAGTTAGGGTCTGAGGATGCCTTTGTGAAGAAGACTCTTGGGGAGAGGGAAAGAAGTGACTTTGTGTGACTTCATGAGAACCAAAGAACACGTACGAAACACAATCTAGCTTAATTTGAGGAAGAGCTTCTGAGATGTGGAGCTGGCCCGTGAGAGAGTGCTGGCCCGCGAGAGAGGGTTGTCCCATGAGAAAGTGCTGTCTAGAACTTAGATAGATGCGGGCTCCCTGCCACTTGGAGGAGACAACCAGGCTGCAGGCTCTCAGTCAGAAACTGTAACAGGATCCAAAAGCATCTCCAGCACCCCACCCTGAGGGGCTCACTGCACACAGAAGAGGCAGATGAGCAGAGATCCTGGCCCAGTGTGAGCTGTATCATGGTGGGGTGACGATCTCCCTGGGGGGATTTGAGAGGGAGGGACTTAACGGAGGAAGCGACCCGTGGTGGGTCTTGAAGTTAAGATAATGAAGGTGTTGAACACTTGCCGCTTTTGCCTCACCCAAGTTCTCAACCCATAAAATCAAAAGCTGGAAGAATAACGTCAAGGCAAAGGGGTTCGTGTTCCCTGGAAGCTGCACGAGGCAGACCTGCCCCTTAGAAAAGCCGCTCCACTAGGTGGGGTGCCTGCCAGCACCCTAAGGCTGCAAGATAACCCCCATCACACACACAAACAAGACAAAGCCTTAATTGTTCAAAACAAACACCTAAGCTCACAATCCTGGAGTCAGCTGGGCTGTGTTCAGCTGGGCGTTTCATCTGCTGGTCTCAGTGGGGTTCACTCACACACCTGTGATCAGCAGCCTGTCCATTAGTGGCTCTGCTTCCGAGGGTGGGGCAGGAGCGTGCAGCAGGCACGCTCCTAAGACGCAGCTAGGAACCAGCTGTGTTTGGGTACCCTAACCCAACTCCCCGAAGGCAGGAAGACAGCAGCTGACTCATGCCCAGCTTTGACCATACTAGTGAGCACCCACGTGCATCAGTCCTGGCTCGGCATGGGGGCTGCTGTAAAATAAGACATTTTCTAGCTTCTGGGGTCTCCCAGGACATGGGGGAGGTTATCTAATGCAGTCTGTCCTCTATGGAGATGGAGAAACTGTGGCCCACAATGCCTTCCCCATCGCCAGTGACACGCTGGGTGTGAGGTCTGGAAACTAGGTGTGCTCATTCCTCCTCCCTCTCCACCCAGCACTTAGCCCCATCCTGTGGCCTCTAGAAGATGCTTTCTGAGAAACTCTTGTCTTTCAGAGTGAAGGGTCTTTGCCTGGTGGTGGTGTGTGTGATGGTAGTGGTGAGACAGGCAAGTAAGTAGTTCTTCTCTCTTCCAGGAGAGAACTGCAGCAACTCCCGGACAATTCTGGTTCTCCTGTGCCTCCAGGACATGGGGAGTCTGAATTTCCTTGCACTGTTGAAGCTAAGTGTGACCTTGCTGCACGC